CCTACTCCAACATCTAAACCACTACCCCACACTGTGTTCCATCTCTTCCTTCCTTGACCCCCATCTCCTCTCAGAAAGTGAGATGAAAAGGAAGATGGACTAGAAATCGGTTGGGATGCAGAACTTCAGAGGGTCATTTAGCCTTCATAAAGTTTCAGTCAAAGCATCTTTACGGAGAGAAGTAGCTCCATCGTCTAAGGAAAGGGGGATTGTATTACTTTGCTCAAACACTGTTAACCACCTAGAGATTCTGGATCAGTGGTGGGTTTCAAATTTTTTTACTACCGGTTCTGTGGGTGTGGCTTGGTAGGTGTGGCATGGCTTGGTGGGTGTGGCTTGGTGGGCGTGGCAGGGGAAGGACACTGTAAAATCTCCATTCTGTCCTCAATCCAGGGGAAGGTTACTGCAAAATCCCCATTTCCTCCTGATCAGCTGGGACTCGGGAGGCAGAGAATAGATGGGGGTGGGGCCAGTCAGAATTTTTACTACCGGTTCTCCGAACTACTCAAAATTTCTGCTACCGGTTCTCCAGAACTGGTCAGAACCTGCTGAAACCCACCTCTGCTCTGGATAGTGAGAAGGGTGGCATATAGGTTAAATGAAACCAGGTTTTCTGCACATGCAAAAATCGGTTGTCTAGAACAGAGGTGGCAAGTTGAGACAAAGCCTTCAGGTAGAAGTTGCCTTGTTGAAACCGATGGAATATTATATTGCAAATCTTTGTAGAAGGTCTATTTGTGTGTGCTTCCCATTTTCCATGGAATGTGAGCATCCACTTGGAAGTCTTGCATCCAATTCTGTCACCATGATACAAAAAAAGAGAAAAAGATGTTGAAACCCTAGAAAGAGTGCAGAGAAGAGTGGCAAAGAGGATTAGGTGGCTGGAGGCTAAACAGATGAAGAACGGTTGAGGGAACTAAGTATGTCTAGTCTAGCTAAGAGAAGGAGTAGGGGTGACATGATAGCTGTCTTCCAATATTTGAGGGGTTGCCACAAAGAAGAGGGGGTCAACCAGGGGTGAAATCCAGCAGGTTCTGGAGAACCGGTAATGGAAATTTTGAGTAATTCGGAGAACCGGCAAATACCGCCTCTGGCTGGCCCCAGAGTGGGGTGGGAATGGAGATTTTTCAGTATCCTTCCCCTGCCACGCTGACCAAGCCACGCCCACCAAACCACACCATGCCTACTAAGCCACGCCCACAGAACCAATAGTAAAAAAAATTGGATTTCACCACAGGGGTCAACCTATTCTCCAAAGCACCTGAGGGCAAGACAAGAAGCAACAGATGGAAGCTTAGCAAAGAGAGATCCAACCTAGATTCAAGGAGACCTTTCCCGACAGTGGCAACAATCCACCAGTCAAACTGGTGAACATTTATGTCTCATAGTGCTGTATAATGTCTATGTGTATTTACCGAAGTAGTGTGACTGCACCATTGCTATTTATCCTTTTTATTATCCTTCTTACTCCCCCTCCTATTGGTATTATTGTGATGATGGTTATCATTATTACACTGTTGCTTTGCCTGTACACTAAGAGCTTCTGCGCATGAGGTAAATTCCTTGTGTGTCTAAGCACACTTGGCCAAAAAAGAATTCAATTCAATTCAATTCAATTCAATTCAATTCAATTCAATTCAATTCAATTCAATTCAATTCAATTCTACTCTACTCTACTCTACTCTACTCTACTCTACTCTACTCTACTCTACTCTACTCTATCCACTCCACTCCACTCCACTCCACTCCACCCTACCCCACCCCACCCCACCCCACCCCATCCCATCCCATCCCATCCCATCCCATCCCATTCATCTGCCTTGCCCTTTTTCTTCTGGAGGAGTGTGTGCATTTTGTGCTCAGGGATCTTCCTGAGCCCTTTTTAAAGGTAGCATTACACAGCAGTGTTTATTATAGCAGCTCAGGGAATAAGAGACAGAAACTCAGAATATTTCTTTACCTTGGAGGTCACCCTCTAAGGAAAGATTTAATAGGAGAAGATGCTCAGATTGTCGTCCTATGCTTTATGGAAGTTGGATGGGTTTCACAATATCTACATTTTAAACACTGGAGTAAACTTGACAAGTTGTGCATGCTTGGATTGTGAAGACACAAATGGTAGCTTGTCAATGCATCTTAGAAACAACAGAACGTTTCTTGAAGTCAGGGGATAAAATGATAATTTGCAAAGTATCTCTTCCTAATGTGAGATTAGATGAATCTTGACAACTTTAAGACATGTGGACTTCAACCCCCCCACGCCAGAATTCCCCACCCAGTGTATTCCCTTAGGAGATATCTGTTGAAGACTACTACATGGTAGGTTTGATCAGAGCCAAAAAGGCTATGAAAACAACAGGAAATTAATTGGCATGTGCAGACTAAAAGGAAATGCAGTTTGGCTTTTAATCCATTTCAATGCCCTGTTGCAACGAATGGATCAAACTTGGTTGATTCCCCCCAGCTCCAAAAAAGTGAACCTTGCACCTATGAGAAAATGCAGAGGAGGAGGATCTATTTATTCGATTCTGGCTGATCCTATAAAAGCTAAACAGGATTCATCATCTTCATTTAATGACCCCATAATCCCTTGCGGGATGGAGTTTGGGCAACGGAATGGAGCTAGCAGAGTGTTTTAATAGCCGGATGCCCTTCCTGTCGCCAATGCGGAGTTTTGTTCAGCAGATATATCCTCAGTGTGCCCAGAGAGAGAAATATCTGCCTCTACCTACGATCAAACTCACAGCCTCCTGATTGTGAGGCGAGAACTCCACCTCTAGGCCACCGCACCACACAAAAGCTAAATGGGGTTGTACCTGGTTAATGCTTAGATGGCAGACTAAGGGATTCTAAGGGATTTGTAAACAAGAAAAGGAAGTGGAAGAAAATGGCAGAAGGGGAGGATGGAAAGAGGTTTGGAAGGTTGCCAGAAAACCTCCAAGGCTGTGCTGATGAAGTCATCAGAAGTCAACCATGACTCAAAGAAAAGTCTCCCATTTGGCCTCTGTGTTTTAAGAAGAAGAAAAAAAAAACCAACTTCACAGGAAACCTGTTTTAACACAATCCTGTTTTAGTCAGAGGTCTAGAAAAGAAAGTCAGATTAGTTTTAGATTTGAATAAACGCATGTTCGAAACTTGCTGGTGCAGTTTACTTTCGAAATGTCTGTTCTGAAATCTACAGTAGCTACTTTTATTCTGACTGTATTTTGTAATTTTATATAGCTTTACAAAGCTCCGGAGCCAAAGCCAGCGAGAACAAACCATCAAGGAGAATATTTGTAGCTCAGGGTTGAAATGAAACGGTCCTTGGTGCCCTCTGAGCTCGGCTGTTTTCTTTCAGATGTTTCATGACCCTAACTAGGCAACCAAGCAAGCTCAGAGAGCACCAAGGATCCCTCAAAACAAGCTATCAACCGGCTCTTCGGACAATGTTTTCTAACATCCAATCCTTGAATTGTGTTTATTTTTAAAAAGAGCTTTTTGTAAACTGTTAAGATGCCTACACTTGCTTTAGAAACTGTTTCAGAGATGTAGATTTTTTTCAAAAAAATGAAAATGTCCTTCCAAAAGTTTTCTTAGGCTGTTCATGTTTTGATACTATGAAGTACCGTACTTTTCGGAGTATAAGACACACCTTTTCCCCCCCTAAAAGAGGCTGAAAATTTGGGTGCGTCTTATACTCCAAATGTAGCTTTTTCAAAGCTTTTTATCAGCCTCAACAACCCGCTAACGAGGTGCTAATGAGGCGCTAGCGATCCCAGCTTTGCCTGCTCCCTCGACTCTCCGCTGTGCTTTAACGAGGCGCTAGCGATCTCCATGCTTTGCTCCAACTCTCAGCTGTTCTTTAGAAGCTTTTTTTCAGCCCTAACTAGGCGCTAGCCGAGTGAAGCGATCTCCCCCCCCCCTGCTTTGCCTGCTTTTCTCATTGCTGCTTCCTCTCAGCTGTGCCTTAGAAGCTGTTTTTTATCCCCAAGCAGGAGATAAAAAACCAGCAAACTAATGTGCTGAAGCTGACCAGACTCAGGATGCTAGCCAGATGAATACCTAATAGACAGATTCCCCCCCCCCCCCATTTTCCTCCCCAAAAATTAAGCTGCGTCTTATACTCCGGTGCACCTTTTACTCCAAAAAATACAGTATTTATTTATTTAACAAGGGTATATGGCTGCCCAGAGTTCCTTTTAGTAGAGTTAGGTTGTCGTGTCAATTGGTTTAATAATAGATAAGGGGTTTGGATTTGTTGCAGAGATTTTGAGGAGGAGTGTCAGGTTGAATCGTTCTTGCCCCAATTCATTTTTTGAGGTAGCAGTAACAGAGTTGGAAGGGACATTGGAGGTTATCTAGTCCAACCCCCTGCTCACACAGGAGACCTGTACTAGGGATTCGAACCGCCGAACTGCCGACCTTTCTGATCGACAAGCTCAGGGTCTTAGCCACTGAGCCACCTAGCCAGGCTATTGGTTCCTCCTTGAAGTCCTGCCTTTAAGTTCACCATATCTGAGCGAAAAGAAACTGAGTAATATAGAAACATAAATAAAGGAGCTCTTGTAGATTTATGAATATAGAAAGATACATACAGTACATCTAGAATACATTGGCTAAAATCCTTAGCTGACTAAAATTAAAGTTGAGCCTGAATTTCTCCTGTTCTAACTCAACAATCTGTTCACTGTGAGAAAAGGGCCACTACATATCAGAATAACAAACTTGTGCAATTGTGCAGTGGAAGAGCAAGAATATTCAAAAGGTTGGATGGACCCAGACAGCATGGCTGGCTCAGGAATTCTGGGAGTTGAAGTCCACAAGCCATAAAGGGACCACAGTTGCTCATCCTTGGTCTATCTCCAAGCTATCTATGTCAACACCTGAATAGTATCTTGAATGTTGCTTTTAACTCTTTGGGGCTATTACCTCTCCCCCATTTATTTAGTGGTCTGAAAAGGAGTCCTTGCCTTGAATAATAAAGCATTTTTTTTCCTTTTCTTCTATAAATCTTGCAGTCCAAGTGGGAAGAAGTTCCGAAGCAAACCCCAGTTGGCCAGATACTTGGGGAACACGGTTGACCTCAGCAGTTTCGACTTCAGGACAGGGAAGATGATGCCAAGTAAATTGCAGAAGAACAAACAGAAATTACGGAACGATTCACTCAATCAAAACAAGGTTTGCTTGCAAGCACGCAATACATTCGTTGCAAAACCTTTGAAATCAAAAAGGAAAGGCAACATCTGTTTACCATTTTTAATAAGCCCCTTGATAACTTTGCATTTACCTTGATCAAGGATAGGAGCGGGTGCAGATTTTAAAGCAGTATTTGAGGGTGGTAAAGTAAGGAGGTTTAAGACTGGAATGCCAAATGGGAAATAATTTGAAAACGGGTACGTGTTCGTTAAGCATCAAGCTAGAAACTGGGAGACCATGAGGGTTAGTCACTTTCTTTCACCCCTAAGAAAGAGGCCAGTGGCAAACCATTTCTGAAAAACTTGCTAAGAAAACTGCAGGGATTTTGTCCAGGCAGTTTCTGAGAATTTGGACATGATTGAATGGAAGAAAAAAAGGTGCTTATAATTGAAAAAAAGAAGGACCAAGGGTGACATGATAGCAGTCTTCCAATATCTCAGGGGCTGCCCCAAAGAAGAGGGAGTCAAGCTATTCTCCAAAGCACCTGAAGGCAGAACATGAAGCAATGGATGGAAACTAACCAAGGAGAGATCCAATCTAGAACTAAGTCAGAATTTCCTGGCAGAACAATTAACCAGTGGAACGACTTGCCTCCAGAAGTTGTGGGTACTCCATCACTGGAGGATTTTAAGAAGAGATTGGACAACCATTTATCTGAAATGGTGTAGGCTTTCTTGCCTGAGCAGGGGGTTGGACTAGAAGACCTCCAAGGTCCCTTCCAATTCTGTTATTCTGAAAATACAAGTGAAAGTCTTGGCTTTGTTTTCTTATTACACATGTCCGTTTTTTGAAGGGAGTTTGATTCTCCTGTATGGTTTAGATATTCTCCCAGGACATGAGAGTCTTCAAAAACCTTTTGTGTAAAACTGACCATTTCTGCAGTACGTTTATTAGGTTTACAGAGTAGGAGAATGATGTGGAGATTGGAGTTTGATGCTAACAGAGCAAAACTTTCTCTAGAAGAAAACAAAGCAAAAATTTTCTTTAGGAGAAAGATAGTACTGTGGGGGTCAGAGGGAAGATCAAAGAAGTTTACAGGGTGGTCAGGGGTGAAATTCACTTACCTTCCCTACCAGTTCGCAAATGCCCGTGTGCTCGCTTTGCTCGTGCACGGCAGTGTCCACGTATGTGCAAAGCCTTCTGCGCATGTGCAGAGGCTTAAAATTGCCACAAAAAAGTGACGTCATGAAGTCTGTGCGGGTGGGCGGAGCCTCCCACAGCCGCCGCTACCAGTTCGCCAGAGCTGGATAGAACCGGCTGAATTTCATGCCTGATGGTGGCTGTATAAATGACGCCTCATCCCATTTTATGTGCATCATGACAGACAAAGGGGACAGGACTTTGAACACACGTTTTCAGCCATCATCCTGTCTCTATGAGAGCCTTGCTGTATGCAGAATACATCTGGTGTGAGTTGAAAAGATATTCAGTAACTGAGGTGTAGTTTTGGTGTAATTCTTATTTCCACCCCCCCCACCCCCCTTACAATTTAGAGAAAATTAGTTAAGGAAGCTTGCATGTCATATCACACAATGGGATTTTCATTTTTGGTGGACCTAGTATGCCACTGTTTGTCAAAGCTTTCCAAAACACCAATTTTGGGACATGTGATGAAGATCACTTACAGTATGATAGTTACTTCAAAAAAAAATACTGAAATGAAAAGTACCATGTTCTAAATGATAATTTTGTTTTATATTATATAAATACAAAATATTTTAATGTTTCAATTAATATTTTCATTACTGTTTCATAATATATGAATCTCACGTGGCATATTTCTTCAATATCTGGAGGGGGATTTTTTAAAATTAACGGTACCTTTTAAAACATTTACTGCCCATTGTATTGAGTATTGCAAATCTATTTCCAGAAAAAGAAAAGGCAACCTTTTCATTTTGCAATTCTTATTTTCTGGAATTGCATCTAACATCTTGTAGTGCGGCTCTACCAGCATCTCCTTTTCATTTGCTGAGGCAGTATTTGTTGAGTGAAAATGAACAGAGGCAAAATCCACAACAGTTTTTGGAACACCTGCGAACTGGGTAAACTAAATTTAATGCTACTATACTGTGTAGGACAGGGGTGTCAAACTCATAGCCCACAGCCCAGATGCGTCATGCACTGGCCACCGCCACCCCCAGTTTAGTGAAGGGCAAAAAAGTCACGACACATCACACGACGACAACGTGAAGCCATGAGTTTCACACCCTGGTGTAGGAGATGATGAGGCTGAGCCTGAGGGCAGAGTCAAATGAATCATCAGTTTGGCATTTTAGTGAATTCCAGTTTAGTGAAGGACTGGATTTAGGTCCTGTAAGAGACCTAAATCCAGCCCTCTTTGAAGTCGATTGACTCTTATCTGGCACCAATTTACCTTGACCATTTGTGTATAGGTAGCATGAAATAAACTTGTAACACTTTTGAACTCTATCCTGGTTCCTGATACTGCCCAGAGTCACCTTGTAGGGGAGATGGGTGGCATAAAAATTAATTAAATAAATAATAAAATATCAAATTTTATAAAATAATAAATAATTTTAAAAAATTCTTGCACCTATATGGCATATCTCAAATTGAAACTTCAGTTGCTGAGAAGTAGAGGTATAGAGCTATTATTTTCACCACTCTGCTGTGAGAGGTCCTTGGTACTCTCTTTGTCAGGGTTCCAAGAACCCTGTTTTCCCGAAAATAAGTCATCCCCTGATAAGAAGCCCAATCAGGCTTTTGAGCGCATGTGCTAAAATAAGCCTCCCCCCCAAAAAATAAGCCCTCCCTGAAAATATTTAAACACAGAGCTGGAAATCAGGTAAGACGGCAAGAGGAGCCCCATCTTGCTCCATGCGCCCCAAAATAATAAGACCTCCCTGAAAATAAGGCCAAGCGCTTATTTCGGGGTTCAAAAAAATATAAGACAGGGTCTTATTTTGGGGAAAACACGGTACTACCCCCAACACCACCCAGCTCCAGCCTTCCAGGTGCAGGGCAAGTTGACCTTGACTTCTTGAGAAAGGAATGTTATTATGACTACCGGTATATATCACCCATGCTCCATACAATCCCCCCTCCCAGTTTCCCACAGTAATAAACGTGGCAGGTCCGAAGGCCTAATACAAAAGATGCCTTCCAGATCTGACATTCTTCTTGGTTAGAATTGCACCGTTGATATTACCTATTTGGGCAATGAAACATCTGCAAGAAAATAACGAAGCTCAGAGATCAGCAAGGACCCCACAATTCAACCCTGAGCCACAAATATTCGCTTCCATTGATGGCACTCTCTAGTGTTTCTCTTCAGATGTTGCTCTGGTCCAGTTTTTCTAATTTAACTTACAGATATCACTTAATCGGAGGTCAATGAATTCAGCTGTGTGACAAGCCACATCATTCTTTGGTCTTCTCCATCTTTGATTGACCTCCTTTTACACTGGTTTTATAAACACATTTCTCCACTTTTTAGACAATCCTTAAAAATAACCTCTCAAAACAGGAAGGGTGGATTATTTTCTCTCTCGAAAACATTCAAGGAACCTTTGGATCAACAGTATCTCTGGTATCAGAATGATGCAATTTTTCATTGCAGAGAAAGTTTCCACGCTGTGGAGATTTCTAGAAGTCTGACAAATACTAAAATAACCTTCTTCTTTTTTTGCCATTTTGAAATAATTTGGCTTGAGGATCAAGAATTTTTTTTAAAAAACTTTCTTGGCATCATAAGCAGAGCTCCCGGGCTTTGAGGAATTATGTATTATACAAATATAAACCAGTCCATAACATTCAAACTTTTGTTGAACTAATGAATGAGACATTTCATGTTCAGCTCAAAAAATATTAGGATCTTATCGTTTTGATCAAGTATTGACTTTTCATACCGACCTGGCTGGTATATCAACCTAATAAGGTAATATATAATTATTTTCTCTCTCCTTCCTCTCCAATACAGGGTAAACCAGATTTAAACACAACGTTGCCAATCAGACAAACAGCTTCTATTTTTAAACAGCCTGTTACCAAAGTTACGAACCATCCTAACAACAAAGTGAAGTCTGATCCACAACGAGTGATTGAGCAGCCCAGACAGGTAATAATGATAGACTTCCTTTTCTTGATATGTTCTAGAACAGGAGTGTCAAACACGAGTTCATTGAGGGCCGCATCAGGGTTGTGTTTGACATCGGGGCGGGGGGGAGAGGGGGCGCGTAGTAGTGGGGGCGTGGCCAACTTGACGTCACTCGTGTTGGGGCTGCCGTGTGGTAGCCTGAGTGCTTTGCCAATGGAAACGGGCTCCCGAGCTCTGTTTTTGGCTGCGACGGCCTCCTGCAACCCTCTACCAGTGAAAACAGAGATCGGGAGGGCCCTCCCAAGCTCCATTTTTGCTGGTAGAGGCTGTTGTTTCCAGTGCAGTCCCGTGGGCCAGATCTACAGTAGTAACCAAAATTGTAGAAACTTTTTCGGAAAAGTGTATTTTTGAGGCTTAATGGCTAATAACACAACTTTTTTGTTTTTGGAGTTTCAAGATAATCCTATTCCACTGCTGGAATGCCCTGGGAATAGCCCAGACCTTAACCCAATTGAAAATCTATGGAGCTGACTAAAGAAACGTGTTAGTCAGAAGCGACCCAGCAATAAAACCCAGTTAATAGAAGCAATCATAATCATTCCATCTTGGTTTCACGTTATAACAGCTGCAGAACTAAAAGACTTGGTTCACTCCATGGGAAGACGTTGTAAGGCCGTAATTCATGCTAAAGGTTACCCAACTAAGTATTAACTGACATGGTGATAGTTTTTGTATATCTCGTTTTTTCTACGGGTTTCACTTTTCTTCTTTATACTGTAAGTGCTATTCTAATAGCAAATCCTTCATAAAAGTTATTGCATTACATTCTTGATTAAATTATCTTTCCATTGATAGATAATTTTATGGTACTACTCCAATAAAAAGTGGTGTTATTAGCTAGTTTTAGACAATACATTTTCCCAAAGGGTGTCCACAATTTTGGTCACTACTGTAAACACCCCATGGACTGGATCCAGGCCCCCGGGCCTTGAGTTTGCCACCCTTTTTCTGGAAGAATAATGTTGAAAATGTATCTACTTGAGTTTGTTTTATCCAAGGTGGCCCTGTATCAATGGGAGACTGCACCTTCCTGAATTCTCTCCTTGCATTGTGTCTAAATCAAAAGTATCTCTAAGATCAGATCAAATACAGGTAGTCCTCGACTTATGACCACAATTGAGCCCAAAAATTCTGTTGCTAAGTGAGAAATTTATTAAGTTAGTTTTGCCCCACTTAACGACTCTTCTTGCCACATTTCTTAAGCGAATCACTACAGTTGTTAAATTAGTCACCCGGTTGTTAAGTGAATCTGCCTTCCCCATTGACTTTGCTTGTCAGAAGATCACAAAAGGTGATCACATGATCCCTGGACACTGCAACCATCATATATGTGAATCAGTTGTCAAGCATCTGAATCAGTGGTGAAAATTTGTTACTACCGGTTCTGTGGGCGTGGCGTGGTGGGGGAGTAATGTGACTGGGTGGGCGTGGCCAACTTTTTTTTTTTTGACTTTTAAAAGCATTTTTTCTACAACCTTAAGAGGTTGCAGAAAAAAATGCTTTTAGAAGCCTCTGACGATCCCAGCTGAGCCACACGATCATCAAAGGCTTTTTAACAAACTTTTAAAAGCATTTTTTCGGCCGAAGATGTTGTAGAATGCTTTTAAAAGTTAAAAAAACAGCCTCTGATGATCACATGGCTCAGCTGGGCATGGGGCTGGGCAGGGATTTTTGCTACCGGTTCTCCGAACCACCCGCCGCCATCGCTACCGGATTGGGCGATCCGGTCCGAACCGGAAGCATTTCACCCCTGATCTGAATGTAAATCATGTGACCCTGCAACAGTCATAAGTGTGAAAAATAGTCATAAATCACTTTTTTTCAGCACTGTTGTAACTTTGAACAGTCATTAAATGAACCATTCTAAATCAAGGACTATCTGTAACTTTTTTCAGGATAATAACATTCCACATTTTAAAATGTACCCTGTTTCCCCCCCAAAATAAGACATCCCCTGGTAATAAGCCCAATCGGGCTTTTGAGCGCATGGCAATAAGGCCAAGCGCTTATTTCAGGGTTCAAAAAAATATAAGACAGGGTTTTATTTTCGGGAAAACATGGTATTAAGATTGGGTGAAACAACCAATTAGTTTTCTTAGGTGATTATTTCTGTAGTATCAGAAATGTTGGGTTGAGTTCTTTGGATGACTAGGCCATTCTAAAATAATTTTTCTTCATTTTCATGCAGAAGTTCTTAGAATCGTCCCCCGTTAGAAACTCAAATATCCTTTCCCAAGAGGGTGTTTTGTATGCTATCTGGAAAGAGTGAAAGAGGTAGACTTGCTGAAGGTTCCCAGATTGAAAATTAGTTCTCCTTAGGATTCAGCTCATCTTTTATATTCTTGTCAAAAATGAACTGTGGTTTTAATAAGGAATGAAGCTTGACCCTTCAATGATTCGTCTTACTACAACAAAGTAGTGTATGTATCCTTATAGAATTGAATTATGGCATGCTTTAGAACTCCTCCTCTTCTCCTTCTTCTTCTTCTTCTTCTTCTTCTTCTTCTTCTTCTTCTTCTTCTTCTTCTTCTTCTTCTTCTTCTTCTTCTTCTTCTCCTCCTCCTCCTCCTCCTCCTCCTCCTCCTCCTCCTCCTCCTCGGTTATTTTGCTGAAAAATTCATTTGGTTTCTCCCAACCCATTTCAATTTAATATGATGAAGAGTCATTTTGACCTGCAAGAGGGATCCAGTTGGTTGATAAAGCCCCCTGAGATTCACATTGGTGTAGTTATGAGGCCAACCAGATCTGGGATTGAGTTGAAAACCAACCAGAAGAGAAGAAGCATTCAAGCTGTGCTTCTTAACCTTGAACCCCCACAAATGTTGGATGTCAGAGTACCTGTTGGTTTTTCCATTTGAAAGAATTTCGTATGATAGTCTGGAAAACAGCTCTTAGAGTCAGTGCAGCCAACTAGACAATGTTGGTATGGCTTATTGACGCCCTTAAATGCAAGGTATACTGTAACAGATACATTAAGATGTGTTGAATTCACCCACAAAAGAATGTCACTTGGCATAAACTTCCATATTATTTCATCCCATCCTTTTACCAACTCTGGAAAGAGTTTAAATCGGTTTAGCAGCCAAGTGAAATTAAACAATGGTACAGACTCGCTGGAATTCATTCTGTTGTCGAGCCCGATCTCCTGCTCGACAACACATATGGGAGGAGGAGGAAAGGAGGCTGTGGGAATGTGACCCGAAGATACCTGAAAGCATGGGGATACTCTTCATAGGGGTTGGTGATGGTGGCACAGGGTGTTTAGGCGATCGGACATGTCGGAGGATAGGATCGGCAGTGAATGGAAGGATTACAGATGAGCAGAGGAGGTGGCAACATTTGATGACGTCATGGGCCAGCACAGGGATAATTGGTGGCCCATTTGAATGCCTCACTCAGCTGGATATAGCTCAGCCATTCATTATGTGTATGGGACAGGTGGAGCCTGTGCGGACATATAAAAAACGCTGAGAAGCAGTTGCTCTCAGCGCCAACTTTAAACTGATGTAACTTAGCGTTGCCGTGGAGCTACCTTGCAGCTGCAATAAACCATTTGCCATCTCCAGTTTCATAGTGGTTTGTTTGGGGCTGTCAAGGTTTGTTTAGGAACGCTGAGAGAAAGTTGGCGCTGTTCCCTTTTCTTTTACTCTGCTATCAGCTGATATTTGAGGCAGCATGGCAGAGGGAACAGACCCAGGGGTCCAGGTAGTAAATATCCACCTTTCTCCTTCATGTCCAAGTATTGCTCCGCACCAGGATTCAGGATAGATTTTTTACGTGTTCTAGAATTATAAAGGCATTATTACTATAGCTATAGCTGCCGATGCATTTGGGGAAAGTGCCCCAGCTTTTCAGACCAGTCTATGAAGAGAACATTGAACTGGGAGCCACGAATTGGACAAAAATGCTCCAAAAGAAGCATCGTTCAGGTTAAACAGCTCTCTCTTGGATTATAAGAATATTCTGAGCAGCGAAAGGGCCTGGTTCAAATATCCATTCTTCTCCCGATGTTCTTCCACAGTAGAGCTAAGCCTGAATCTAAGCTTTGGGGGCTGGATATTCAATGTTATACAAATTGCACCTTTATTAAAGCTAGGCAGCTTGGCTCAGCATGATAATGCCTTCCAAGAGGCTTTACTGAGTACTTAAAAGACGTGGGCCATATGCCGCCAATCTCCGTGTGCATAACTTTTGCATACGGTAATGCAAACTTAGAAATATTTATTGGGACGTACAATTGGACAAAAGGGTAAGGCAACTCGTTTCCCCTCCAGATTTTTATCCAAATGATTTCAGTTAATTGACATCCCGCACACACTCAGATGCCATTTGGTTCCTCTTCATGGGTTCCCATCTGGGATTGGCAGGTGGGAATTAGGACAAGAGCTTCTGATTTCCTGATGGATGTGCCCAGGGCTTCAAAAACTGCAGGGGCCTCTTCATTTTCTTTGCATCTGGTCACACAAGACCCTGCTCCAACTATCTTTTAATTCCATTTTAATTAACTAATCTCAGACCATTTCTTGAAAACCGCCATCAAATTCAATTTATTCTCCCAAATGAACATATCACTTGGATTAACGCATCTTCCAGTTTTAGCACCCAACAGCACAGGGCTAACAGAAATCTGAGCATTCTTTTATGGTTACAGAGGTTTTGATAAAAATTGATTTATGGCTATCATAAGCAGGAAGGAGGTGATATAATTTACCCTGGATTTTTTTTTTTTTTTTTTTCATTTTTTTTTGCCTTTTCAAGCCATTTAGGATGCAATTTAGTAAACTCTTTATTGGGATTAAAGGAAATGAGATTTATGAAGAGAGATGCTTAAGATTTTAAAAAAATAAAATAACAGCAGTCTTTCTAACCATGCTATTAGTCTATTGGTCAGGGACAATAAACCAGAAACTGCAGCTGTCTTTTGTCTGCAGTAACCAGCAGTATATTTAAACCAGGGGTCC